TATCGTGCACTGGCGTTATTATAGGGTTGCTAGCGGCCCTCTCTCTCTCTCTATTATATACAGCAGCACTACTGTTCCGCTCTGATATCGTCTTTTTGCCCTCTCTCTCTCACTCTGTACATGTATATGCGCATGCGATCTTGAGGGTGCTTAAGTTATCTAGCACCGATTTCGGCTGTATGTGTCGCGAGAAAAGGGCAAAAACCAGCTCGTATAAATCAAAAATAATTATTAATAAAATGTGCGCAGCGGGCCTCGTCTGCGTAATGAGCTAGTTTGTTGCAACTCAATTTCCATCGAGAACGAGCCAAAATACATATAGAACGAAAGAAAAAGACCATCGCCGAGGGTAATTCGAGTAGTCGCGCTCGATCGATATTGGACGTATTAAAATTGTCTTGTATCGAGCATACCTATATATAGGTGCAGAACACAACAAGCTGCTTTGCAGCCTCGGCTAAACGGGAAGAGCAACGGTGCAAAGTGCAGAAAACGAGCAAGAATCTCTTACCGCAGTCGAGCCAGAAGCGGATAATCCTTCGCACGCGCTCCGCCGGTAATTAATTTGCATCTCTCTGGCTTGTGCTACGTGCGCTTAAGCTCTAAGCTATACTTGGACGCGCGGCGACTCGTCGGGCCGCACTGCGCGCAACTGTTTCTATAATAGAAAGGAAACGTGCATAAAGCAGCTAGCGCGCTCGTCGATCATTAATAATAATCAGCTATATACAGTCCCTGGCGCGTGTACGTGAAGCTGTATAGTATAGCTGCGCGCTCGTAAGAGAGAATAGAAACTGTGGAAATTAGAGCTTTTGAGCGAACGAAAAAAGATTAAAACGACGAGAGAAAGAGAAAAGAAGTGGGAGTCTGGCTATCGGAGCCGAGGTTAAATCTTCGGCGCGCGATGAGAATTTACTAGCTACTTCTACTAGGTATAGCTGGCGCTGCTACTACTACCCTCGAGTATCTCTCGACCTCGCGTCCACTAATTGCGCCCATGCACTGATTTATCCGTAGCACCTCCCGAAAACCCACCCGGCCCTCGTCGGTGTATAAAGGAGTGGCCCTTCGGGCGCTGATCGATAAGTGTTTTTTCGAGATTTTTGTATCCCAGCTCTCTTCTGTCTAGCTATATCTAGAGCTGCGATATTCCTTCCATTAAATGCATTACGTACACGACTCGGTCGGACTCGAACGTCAAAAGTCTTTACTCCGAGTGCCGAGTAAAATATACGAGCGACACGACGAGCTAGACGCGCGCAGCTCGGAAAATATGGCCCGCAGTGCGCAGCAGCTCGTGCTATGATTAATACATGCGCACTCTTGGGCTAAACGTTGCGACGACGACGACGACGAAACACGGACACACTTACAACTCATTCAGGCTTGATTCGGGCGTAGCGATAGCATACGTGCAGTACAGTCACCTTGACATTAATGGCCTTGCAAACACACGAAAAACAATGAGCAAATCCGTCCCGCAGCCGCCACCGCCGCCGCTGTGCATTAATTCCTCTATCTATCTCGCGCGCCGCTTCCCGTACGGTCTATTTCCGATCCTCCTCGCTCTATACGGTATATACCAGTGGTGGCTAGGCTGCAGCTCGAATTGAGCGCGCAGAGAGAGATAAAAAGCGAGCAAAGAGAGCAGCGAGTTTTACTAGTTTCGATCGCGTATTTATAGACATCTTGGAAGCGCTGGAGCTTCGGTGCAGCGCGCCAGAGTGAGAGAGAAGCCGTAGCAGCAGCAGCAGCAGAAGCAGCAGTGTAACTGCGCAGCGCACGGGAATAGGGCATAAGTTATATGAAACGTTCAGCCGCTCGCTACTGCTCGTCCATAATTCTCTATGTGTGACAGTCGAGTCGAGTCGAGTCGCGCGCGAGCTTGCGCAGCTTCTTGGGTCGTGCGTGCAAGCTCTCGCAGCTCGGCCCTCGGGAAATTGAATGCCGCTACCGCAGCGCGCGCTATCTCTTGCTCTTGCTCCTCTCGCGAGCGGCGCGTCAGCTGTCAAATTGATAACTCGCGCACCGCTGCTCTCTCCCTGTACGTTCTACTTTTTTCTCGCTCGTACGCTAAACCCGGAGACTTATATGTATATGCGATTGCGCCGCGCGTTTCCTTCCGTCCTTGGGCCACATTTGCATGTGTATCTCGCGCGTCGAGCTCCGAGCTAGCGGCGCTGAGAGAAAAAAAAAAGAAAACAGGCCCTGGCTCTATTTGGTCTGCGGAATTTTTCTCGTACATTCGGCGGTCGGCTGCGGTGATATACGAGAGAGCGAGATAATAATGCGCGCCGCATCTCGCACTTCTATATATATGAACATTGGCCTATGCGTCGACCGTATGTGTACGTGTGATGAATGCTTTTAATTAATGGCCTAGTCGTTCGATTTGTGTGTATGTGTATATGTGTATAGTCTCGCACGAGATGCACAGCGTGTGTTTTATGCGTTTGCGATAAAACATTTAACCGTTTTTATGGTCGGTGCGGTAGGCACCGATGCTGCTGCGCTGCTGCTGCTGCTGCTGCTTTTACGAGCTTATCTTTGATTATACTGAGCGTATATGAGTATTGCTCATTTATACGATCCGCTAAAAGTCTCGTAGATGAAGAATTTTTTTCTTCTGATTAACGATTCGCCGCGTCGCTTCGAATTACAAACATCGTCATCGTTTCTATACTGTGTCTCGTCGCGACTGCGTCCATTTGCACTCGAGTCACCGCAGCAGAGGCAGCAGCAGAGCCTGCTCTCGGTGCCACGAGCACTTTTGCACAACTTCGCGTATCCGGTAACCTCGTTCAGTTTTTATTTTTTCTTTGGCCTCGCTGAGAAACATCGGATGATGTAACGCGATAAATCGATTCCACCTGACACACCCCTGGCACGGAACATCGTTTTCTCCTTATATACAGTTCCACCACCGCCACCAAGCTGGAGGATACGTCTTTTCTCTTGCTTCCCCCCTCTCGCCCTCCGCTGGCTATAACGAAAATAGGTGAGTCGAATCGATTTTTCGGAAAAGTCTTTCGACTCTAACAGGCTTGTCCTATAGGGTGCACTATATATAGGTGCACTCCCGTATATTATATATTTTTTATATAAAATAGATTCACGCGCGCTCGAAGAGCCAAGTCACATACTCGGCGGGCGCGCGAGCCGAGCAAATGGAGAAAGACACGCGCGTCGATCCTTGCTGACATCGAGAGTAGAGAAATGTATACATAAAACGTGCGGCTTTTGCAAATGCCGCCTTTTCGATCGATGCACATTTTTTCGCGCACTGGACACGATCTATGTCGTACGTCGTACATTATACGCGCGCTCTCGTGTACGTATAATATATGTCATGCGCTGCGCACGGGTCTCTATATGTGTGTGTTTGTGTGTGTGCTTACGCGCGCGTCGCTGCTTGTTTTGCTCGTTTTTTTTTTCTTCAAGTGTATAATACATATGCCACCGAGGTGAATAATTCATGAGCCGCCGCTGCCACTCGTGGTGGTTCCATATATATACCCTCGACGTATCTGTGTGCGTATGTGTAGACGTCGAGGAAACGGGTGAAAAATTTGCTTAAATAGTCAGCTGGAAAATGCGCGTGTGTGTACGTAATGCGGCTCAGCGTACTTACGTATATAGCTCCGGCGAGAATTAAGACTTCGGTGGCGAGTTTTTAAATATAATTGCGAGCGCGCGCGTATAAAGCTCAAGCCGCACCGTTGTTGTTATGGAAATTATCCTAAACATTCGTGCCGCGCAGCTAGAGCAGAAGAAAAGCTCGGCGCACTCGCTCGCACGAGCTTCGGTTGGAAATACTTTACGCGCGTCGTCTATGCGGAAATGTAACCGAACTATGCGAGACCCGCCCGCACGGATATAATATGAAATTTGTGGAAATTTTTTTCCTCGACCTCCTCCGCCGATCCCCAACTATATAGTGGAGAATTCAAAGATTGCGCGCGAAAGCGTGTCCCGTGCAAAAAAAAGGCCGCGTGCGCGATGCCACTCGTATGAGCTTCGCGCATACTTCAACCGATCCGTATAATTTTAAAATTTGTACCCGGTCGCATAAGCGCGCAAAGACGAGTCCCGTGTATTATCATTTTTTCGCGTACAGCCGCGGATCTTTTTATTACAAATATAGTATATACGCGTGCGGTGGATGAAATACCACGAGGATCTTGCACATAATACGATATCGCTGCGGACTGAATAATTTTCAAGCTCGAGAAAAACAAAAGACTCGTCCATTATCAAACGAGAAGCCCGGCACCGGCACGAGCCGCCCCGAGAGCTGCTACTCCTACGCGCGCCTGCGGTTTTTCAAGCTCGTGCGGCTCGCAGCACATTTTTCTCCATAGGCGCGTATTATACGTACAACAAAGTATAGGATTTCTTCTTGCCAGCGTTCACGGATGCGTGAAACAAGTTTTGACGCGAGCGCCGTAGTAAAGCAGAAGTTAAAAAATGTATATATACGAACGGCCTGTCAAGTAGTAGCGAACGAGAGCATAAGGAAAATATGAGAAAGAAACGCGTGCCGCCACCGCCACCGGGAAAGGAAAAGACGTGCGCCATTAATCAGAGCTAGTAATTTTCTTGATATCGCCGATTCGAACGCTACATAATGTGTACTCATACATAAACGTCCCTCTCTCTCTCTCTCTCTCTCTTTCTCCGTGTGCGGCTGTGTTTTGAAGGATCATCTCGTGAGCTGCCATTATTTTGTCCGACCGAGCGCGCCCGGATTATACACGGACGAAATTCACGCCGCACGACGCGTTGCATCGTCACACTTGCTTATATCGTATATTTACACCGCAACCGATGATTGATGTGGATCACGTCTCCGTGTACTGCAGTACTGAGTAATTCAATTTTTCAGACTAGAAATAACAATTTTCGCGCCGAGAAAATCCATAAGGACGAGCTTTGAACTGGCGAGCTTTTCATCACACTTCGACGATTTTTAATGAATATATTTTTTTTCTCTGTTGCAGCGCAATGTTCCGCTCCATTGGGAATGGAGTCGGGAGCTATTCCTGACACGGACATCAATGCCACTTCGAGCTTTGATAGCGGCAACGTTGGCCCACACCATGGAAGGTATAGTTCGTTTCAAATTTTTACCGTTTTTTTCTTTTTTTATACACAGTGATACAATGACAATATACTGTAAACTGTATAGGTTATTTTTGACAAAAATCTCGTAAACTCTAAAATCGGAACACCTGGCACTGTGATTTCTCGAATTTTTACACCAGTAATAATCATAAAACGTCGAAAGAAAAACAAGATTCACAATAAAAAAGACGCGCGAAATGCCAAGCGAAAGAAATGGATGTTAATGAATCGAACGTGCGCCTGTTTTCGGATACAAGTCACACAACAACATCTTGCGATCGTTTAAGCTAATCTTATGTGTATATCCAATAAAAAATTCACCGAGACTAGACTCATTTGAATCAACAGCTGTGTAAAACATTTGACTTATGTCCGTCGCTTTATATATCTTCTTCTGCTACCGCTGCCACTGCTGCTGTTCGTGTTTTATTGCGCCAACAAACCTGTATGTATACGCGTGCTGTAAATGTATACAGCTCGCGCGCGACATTCGGAACTCGGAGCGCGCACGCCTCGGCTCGTGTGTCCTCATTTTCATGCAAATTATACTCGATCTAGCCGCTCGGTAATGATCCGTAAAATCGAGAGTTGAATTTTTTTTCTCCACTAGAGAGCAGCAACGCCTCGTAAGCGTCGGCGCGCCATTAAATCGATAATTATTAAATCTACGAAAGCAGAATTTCCAGCCGCACGCAGATAAATTATTCGGAGAGAGAGGGAGAGAAACTAATCGCCCTTGCAAAAGCACAATAAGCAGCAGCAGCAGCGAGCGAAGTTAAAGCGAGCGCATTTACTCAACAAGCACCAGGCATCATACGAATTCATATGTATGTGTAAGCTTGTTCCAACACAAGAAGCTCTCGAGAAAATCATCTCTCCTTTCGCCAACCCCCATTTGCATTTGCAGCAATCAACTAATCGCGCTTCACCCGGAAACTCTCGCTCGATCTTCGTCGGCAGGCCCGCGTCGTCTACGGCATACGCATTGTATACACACTATATACGAGCCAGTGTGCGCCCCACACGACAATAAGAACGATCGCACGGCGCGACGTCTGTTGCGACGAAGCATTTATCGAACCATGTATGAAAGCATATCTGTAATCTCGCGCGCATATAAATGCATAATTATATATTATTTCTACGGGCGCAGTAGAAGCTAAAATTTCGATAAGCCGCGCGCGTTAAGTACGGTCCCGCTCGTTCGTACGTTCGTTCGTTCGTTTCGCATACAAAGCACAAACACACACACACGCCATTATCGAGTTAAGATCTGTCATTGACATCGCGCGCATAGGAGAAATTCATTTGCCTCGAGTGCTTCACCTGTGCGCGGTGCTCTGCGCGCAATAGAGAGAGATTATTTTTTATATAAATAATAATACTAGTCGTTTCGTCGGGATTGAGATTGATGATCTCGTTCATTGATATTTCTAGTAGCCAACTATGACAATGCGTCAAATTACTATCAATTGTAAACGTGGCATGACCTTATACAATTATTTCTACTTTGCCACTTGTGGATTTGCAGATAAAGGTACTGGCCATCTAGTGGTAGAGGCTTGTATTAACTATCATTGAATTTTCAAAAAAAAACATTCACAAGATTAAAACACGCAAATAAATAAATAAAAAACAAGGATTCAATTATTTTTTTAAATTTATTCATACGAATAATATGAAAATTCTGCAAAATTCAATATCGTCAGACATTCAAAAATATATACAAATATATATTACAATTATAGTAAATGTCTCTCACCCACCCAGCAAATTCTATAATAATGTCTAATCTCTAGCCGTTTGAGGATCCTATAACAGGTCTCGTGCGACACCTGATTACCATCAAATTCCATCAAATTCCGTAAATAATACGATGCCGATTCCAGGAAAAAACTCCACGACATTATCTCGCAGAAGTGCAAGATGCAAGCGTCTCTGGGTCCTTTCGGCCATTGATTCAAATATGGATATACACTTTTAAGCATACTGTAATCGATTTCTGCCGACGACGATGCCTGTTCTAGTGGCAAACGGACCAAGTCGTTGAGCGACATCTCCGGGCTTACCATTATTCTTCTCGCTCTGCTAACGAACTCCCGGTCGTCGTACCAACGTCTTCTAAATTCCCGCGATGATCTCTTGAACAATGCGTATTCATAAAAAAAATCGATGACCGCCAGGAGTTGGCCTCGGTTCAAACGGCATCCTCTTTCCATAAAATATGCGACTATGGTCAGAATGTCACACGTTGCATCCAACTTTTGTTCCCATCTCATGCTAGTTTGCTCATCGCCGTACGGATACGGCAAGTATGTTTCAGTATCAAAACGGAAATAAGACATTTGACTGTTACCAATGTTCGACGACAATCTTTTGATAACCGAGTCGAGCGCCGTACGGCCCAAACTGTCACGGGCCGTGACCTTCGTCCTGAAATTCAGATCGTATTCAATGTCGTCGATCAAGGACACTATCTCTGTCAAGTCATCGAAATCGTATATCTGGCAAACGGTATGCAGAGGAGTTAATCCTTCGTCGTTGGCGCGAGTCGTGTTGGCGCCGCTCTCCAGCAGCAATATGGCCACATCCTTGTGGTCGTAGCGCAGAGCCAAGTGATACGCCGTGTAACCCCTTTCGTCCTGAGAGTCGATGTTGCTCGGCCTTCCGGTCAAGTTCACGAAGAACGTCCGCACCACTGTCGTCAGAGCGATGTCGGGATCGTTACTTTTGCAGGCATTGTGCAGAGGAGTCGCTCCTTTTTTATTGGTCGACAAGAGATACGCGCCTTCTTCCACCAATATTTGGGCTGTCTCGATCAAGCCGTTGTCGAGAGCCAAGTGTAGCGGTGTGTCACCGTTAGTGTCCTGTGCGTTGATTAACACCCTCTTCTCGACTTCCACGCAGATGTCGAAGAACTTGTCCGCGAAGTCATCGTCAGCTTCATTCGCGCAGATGAAATGCAGAGGAGTCGTTCCTTCCCAGTCGGTCGAGTTCGGATCGGCGCCTTTTCTCAGCAGTATTTCTACAACATTTACATTGCCGTAATCAGCAGCCAAGTGCAGCGGTGTCTTGTCGTATACGTCTTTGGCGTCGACCTGAATCGCGTCCTCGGCACAGGTGTCGAATAACATATTCGCCAACGACACATCTTCCTTGTGTTTCTCACAGATGACGTGCAGAGCCGTCGATCCGAATTTGTCGGTCAGATTCGGATTGGCCCTGTTTTGCAGCAACAATCGAGCCACATTCTCGTGCCCGAAGATCAGTGCCAAGTGCAGCGGTGGATCGACCGTATTCGTCGCGACGAGATCGGGATACTGGCCGAGCTCGAGAAATCTTCGGACGACTTCTTCGCATCCAAATTTACAGGCTATGTGGAAATGCGTGAGCCCGGACGCGACGTCGGTGTAATTCACGTCGTATCTGTGGTATATCGTAAATAGCGCACGAATCACGGGCTGTGCGTGAGAGTACGCGAGTCTACTAGCCGCGTGATGCAACGCCGTGGTGCGACTCGACGATGGCCTGCCGTTTTCGTCAACATCGGGCTCGTTTCTGTAGCCGGCTTGAGCCAGGAAGCTAACGATTCTGACTCCAAAATCGTACCTGGCGACCAAAGATTCCTTCAGGAGACACTCCATTTCTTCCCTTCGAAAGATGTCCAAGAGGTCTAAAGGTTCGTTGACGAATTGCTGTTGAGCGATCAACCGATCAACTTGAGTTAGAAATCTTTTTCGACCGTTCTTGTCCTCCAAATCGAAATCTGAACTCTGAAGCCATTGTTCCACCATCATTTGGTCCATCGTTTAGTTCTTTTCGTAGTCGTTTGGAATATAAAATATACGAAAAATAATTTTCATTCTTTTTCGCGCGAATCACTCGCTGGGGTCGAGATGCGATCTTTCTCCGTTGACACTGGAGCGCCGACTGTCGACTTTATTGTGGACACTTGTTTTGTATCGCTACAAGTATAATCGTTATATAGACGTGGTACTTGACAGGATTTTGAATATAATTCGTAAGAAATGTTTGTATCTGGTTTATTAAAATAAATAGTAGAATTTTTGGCTCGTCAGGTTCAACATTCGTGATATTTACGTATAGCGAAATTTTCAAAACAAAGAAAGCGTTACGTCTACATAAGATACTGCTGAAAAATAAACAAATTGCACTACTCATGAGCTGATGTTTCAAAATGGCAACATAAGTCGAAAAAGTTGAATTTCGAAATCATTTTTTTCTGTTTGTGCTTTAAAAATGGATAATATACTATGGTAATATACTATATTAGTATCTTCAATTTAAATATCCGTTTTGACATTAAATTCACGTAAACTTTAAAAATTGTTCAACGTTCTAGATAAAAATAGCATAAAGCGAACGTGCTTTCATGTGACTATATAGCTGGCAAATTACTCCGTGGCAAAGTAGTTCGGTGGCGCGTTTGGCAAATTTCAACTTTAACTTCGTCACCCATATTTCTGGAAGCTTTCATCAAAGTTACCGCACAAGATGAGGCAAGTTGCTCCGCGATGAGAGAGAGAGAGAGCTGCTGCTGCTGCGGCAAAGTGATCTATCGATACTCGAGAGCGGAGCGCAGTAGTGGCGTGAAATTTTCGTCATCAAGCGCACACATACACACAGACAGAGACAGATTCGGAAATGGTCGGAACACGTTGTACCTGCTAACGCGTGGTCTAATTGTGCCGTTTGAAATTAGCGCTTTGAGGTCTCTCTGTATAGCTAGCTGCCTCTGCCAGTACATAACTCACAGCCCATTAAGTTAGCGAGCCGAAGGTTCATATATAAATGCACTTTGATTTGCTTCATCGTTGCATCAAAGGCATTCTCTCTCTCTCTCGCTCTTACTCTTGGGCAGTGGTGCGCGGTATAAGGAGCACAAGGCGCGATGATGGCGAAGATTACGCGAGGGCCTAGTGGTAAGACGCTTCGGCTGACCGCGATAAATCTCGAGGCACTGCTGCAGTACAGTGCGCTCTGACTAAGAGCGTTAAGTTGCCGCCTGTTTCTCTTGCTGCTTTGGATTACGTTGTATACCTCGTTTTGCTGTAGTTTGTATGCACTTAACGCGCGCTCGCAGGAATTTCTCGCGCGCTATTATCATATTTCGAACGTTTTGATAATGAGAGTCTGCTACGATCGTTCGATTTCTCAGTCGCAACAATTACTCAATACTCGAACTTCCCTCGATGTATTTAAACAGTCTTTGATTTTCGATATCGAATCGAGAAAGGGATATATATATTCGGTTCGTGTTTTTCCCTGCCTCGGCGCAGAAACTCAATTAGCGAAATAACCGAAAAGCAATCGATATAAGTTGTTGCCGAGCACAATCTCTTTGCATCATCGACAGCAGCAGCAGCAGCGACTGCGACGGTGTATGTATATGTAGCTCACCTCGGCGCAACTCCGCTCTACAAGAGACGAGGAGGGTAAAAGTAAAGGGATAAAGAGTAATTAGAGAGTTCGCCAAGAGAGTGAAATACGCGAAACAAAGACACGAAGTCGTGGCGTGGCTGCAGCGTTCGTTCTCGTTTCGTTCGCTCGCTGTATATATACAGCGCAGTCTTAAATAAAAGAAAGGTAAAAAAAAGAACTGGGAAGGTAAAAAAGGAGAAAGAGAGAGAGAGAGACAGAAAAACGTAAACTCTGAAAATTGCCAGCGAGAGCTCGCGAACGATGCCATATAATTTGATTTTATATTTATATTGCGACGTAATTTCAGAAAAATATCAAACAAGTCGACTATCTTACCAACCGGGTCGAGCGATATATATACATTCTCTCTCTGCGCCGGGCTCACTCTGTGCATCCTGAGAATTTAATATAGCGCGCGGGGCAGGAAGCAGCTAATTCGCACTTACGTTATTATTATGACTCGCGAGCTCGAGCTGGACTGACCCGCAAGGCCTTTATGTCATTGTCGGGACGGCGAAGCGCGCACCTCTTTGATCTTCCACGGTGGAGAGAAATTTTATTTATGCCACCAACGGGTCCGTTTTCCAAGTTTATTACAAATTGTTCAGTAGGTCAGAAAATGGTATTTCATTACGTACGTAATATGGCGCTGCCGTGTAAGTAAAAAGATGGAAATAGACGAGCGACTGCTAGACTAGCGCGCGAAAATCTGGGCGCCGCTGCAGCAGCAGCAGCAGCAGCAGCAGCCAGAGCTCCAGGACGAATAACAAAGCCGGGGTGGTACACGTAGGTTATACAGCAGCAGCTGCCTCTCATACCAACCCCCTTTTCGGAGCTAGTACGACGAGGTGAAATCCGCGCGTAATTCGCCGAGTATATATACAGAGACGACGCGCCAGAGCACAGAGACTTTAGCGTCGTGGCGCGTGTGTGCGTCAACTTCATCGTCGAGGCTTTGGCGCGCGTCTACCTCTCGACACTTCCTCCTGCGCCTTTTGCTGCATCGCGCGAGCCTTGTCATATACCTACATGCACACTGTACGTACGTCTATGCTATACCTCCCAGTCGTAGTCGTCGTAGTCGTCGACTCGTGGCATTGCTGCACACGTCTGTCTTGAAGTGAGTACATGTACCATACACTCCTCCTCCTTTTGTCTCTCTCTCGAGCTCGAGCTCGTTCGCGAATTCGCACCGCAGGAAAGCTCGAGAGACTCTATTATATACGCGGTTCCTCTGTTTGTATGTGCCAGTCTATGTGTGTGTTCACGCAATTAGCAATCGAAGTCTCAGCTCGCGCAAGCTCTTGAATGTGTGCGTGTGTGCGTGTGTTAGTACAGTGGCTCAGGATCTCTTATTCTCTTCATTCGGCATATATAGCTCATCTTTAATTCATAGAGTTACGCTTCCGCAAGCGTATAGTTCAATCGATAAATTATAATTTCATCGCGCGCACGCTTACGCATATATAACTTCTCTCTCTCTCTCTTGCAGCGGTGCGTTCAGAGAGACAGCTCGAAGCAGCTCTGCGGGAGTAGCTTCGGAATTTTCGAGTTTTCGTCGTAATACATAATGGAGTTTTGTCTATAGTTTCGCTGCTGCTGCTGCTGCTGCTACTGGCATTACCCAAACTATGCCACTCAGTTTTGCGCGAACCTCGTCGCGAATGCGTGGATGTTTTATAATACGCATCTGACTCGCAGATTATGAATACACACAGGGTGACAGTTGAGAACGCGCGGCATCAAGGACTGCGCGCGGGCACGCGTTTGATCGATGGATTTACCTTAGCGTATATATATGGCTTTACGTTAAAAAAATAATCCATTGCCTTTCGTGCCAGCGTGTATGTGGCTAGGCAAATTTTGTTTTTTTAATTTCGTAAGAAGCAGATTCGACGAGCTGCCATCGAGCTCGCGCACGTCACACGATTAGAAGGATGATCGATGCCTCTCCATTATTATTCGCGTGTCAAAGATTACGTCATTCTCCCGCTGCCCGAGGATCAGGAAATGAGAAGGAAAAAAAATTGTATGTTAAAGGAACAAAAAAAAACGACATACTCGACGTTAAAAAAAAAAAAAACATCGTGTTATGGTTAGTTTAGCCGTAGGATTTACATCCTTTATTATTGCTACACTCGTTTATATACCGCAACGAATTCATGCTAATACCGATCAGCCGCTATTACAAGGAGAAAATTCTACAAGCTATAAATAAATGTTTTTTCTTTGAAGCCGAGCGAAATACGCACCACGCGCATAATAATTGAAAAGCTATATCCAAGTGATAAATCAGGACTGCCGCGCGCCCGAGCACACAGCTAGCGAGCGCAAGGTTGCAAAATATAAATCTCGTAGGACTTAGCCGCACGCGCGCGACTCAAAGCCATATTATGCGATTATAACGCAATACATAAACATCGAAACGAGTCTCTCATTTTTTTTGTCATTTCTCTTGTTGCAGGTTGAATCAGGACTTGTTCGGTGGCGCTTGGTGTCCCAAGCCGCAGATCACCACGGAGTCGACCGAGTGGATCGAGATCGATCTGCGCCGGGTGCACGTCATCACGGGCAGCGGCACCCAGGGCAGATTCGGCAACGGCCAGGGTGCCGAGTTCGCCGAGGCCTACCTGCTGGAGTATTGGAGGCCGGCCCTGGGCAAGTGGGTGCGCTACAGAGACGTCCGAGGAGAGGAGGTAAGGATCGCGTCGATTGATTTCCCTTCTATCAAAGTCGCGAGTCGCGAATAAAAAAAGGGGATGGAATTGCTCTCGATTCGGACTCAGAGCGAGACCTATTACAAAGACCATTATTATGGCTTTTATCTTTTCATTCCGCGCGTATGTATAATGTAAAAGTTGAAAGGGAAACGACCGTAGAAACGATTTCCATAAAAATACAGGCGCGCCTGCCGAGTGATATTTTTTGCACACACACGCGCGCGTTCACGTGAAATTTGAAAACCTCTCTGGTTTTTTACGTTAAAAGTACCACGAGCGAGACAGAAAGAGAGACAGAGACACAGAGTCTTTTTGTAGCCCTGAAACGGCCATTCATCTAAAAAAAGATCGCAGAGGATGAGAGAGAGAGAGAGAGTTAAAGAGAAACGAAACGCGCGTGACGGTAATGGCGTGTATAGCTCAGATAAAAAAATCATCCACATGAAAATGAAGTCGTGTGGACAAGGCAGAGAAGCGGCTCCGATATTATTTTCCACCAAAGATCTCGGCAAACAAACGTTGCTTCCTCTCGTACTTACAAAAAAACGGAGGAAAAAGAAAAAATAAAGAAAAGGAAAGACCGACGACGCACCGGTGCTCGGAGCACACTTGACGCGCGTCGGGGGTTCTCTGCACAGGTTCTAAAGTACAGGCAATTTTCGGGGCGACGTGAAAAGTGACCGCAGAGTAAGCCGTGGAGGAGGATACACTCGTCGGCCCGATGAAAATGAGAATTGCTCGCTCGAGATACGTCGGGCTACTACCCGTAAGGAAGTAAACAAATTTTAACATCGCGCGCAGCAAAAGGCTTTTGGGTTAATGGCTCCATCTTTCTCCGTATTAATATCTTAGCGCACTTATGCGCTCTCTCGGGCGCGCACGAAAGAGAGACATAGAGAGAGAGAGAGAGAGAGAGAGAGAGAAAGAGAGAGATACCCATCACTTCAAGGGAAAATTATTATACTGGCGCGCTCTGTTGCTGCTGCTGCTTGCTTTTAAGTGGGCGATATGCTTCGAGGAAAAACAACTGTATTACACGCGCGCGCGGCGAAACGATGTGGCTGATGCAGCAAATACGGCGCGATAAAAATGTGTACGTACCCGCTTATCGATTAAAAACATCCATTACCATTAAAAAGGAAATATAAAGTATGCATTATAAGCCATCAAATAGAATGATAAGGCAAACGTCAATCAGCGAAATGTGTTTTTGCTTGCGTATACGTACGTACGTGCGCGTGGCGCGCCAGTGACAAGACACAATGGAAAGGTCACTTAGCATTTTTAATATAATCGAGCTCTGCGATCGTACGCGGCGTACCCCTCGCGCGATGAGCGCAGGACGTCCGCCGGCACGACATTATATTAAACAAATCGAAAACACGCGTTTACGTTTATTACACACGAGTCCTGTAGCAGCAGCAGCAGCAAGACGTTTGACGTATACACAGGTCGACGTCGTCGACGTTGGCGGCAGGCGATGCCGGTGAACTTTACATTTGTGTTGTATCGCACTGTAGCACTATAGTAGCTACGGCTCCAACTCGGCGCTATTGGATCAATAAAATAAGGGAAGGTCGAGCGAGCTGCGTTGTACAGTCGCGTGTGCTGCGTTTGGGTATATACGTAGGGCGCGTCGGGGCTCTCGCACCTTATATACACCTCCACATCCGTACGTACACCACATATTATATACGTACACCTGTGTGTGTGTAAGCGCCCGTATATATCGCAGACTAGGAAATATACTGGCATAATAATTATTCTCACACCGTATACGTAGTGTATGTGTGTGCGAATTTTTCGAGTCGTTCCTCGCTATATTGTACAAGGCGCCACGCGAATGAATTAACTGCTGCCCCCTTATGTAAGGAGAGGGGAGGGAGGAGGGCGGCTCGAGGTTTAATTGGGAACTTTGCGATTAATGGAGCGCCCCGCTGCACGGCGGCGGCGAGCGAAAAATTTCTTCGCGTGGTCGTTACATGCTCGCGCGGAGAGCAACATTTTAAATTACCACCCCCCGAGCTTTTTTTCATCGAAACTCGGCGAGGAAATTAAGTGGCTCGGCCAATAGCGCTCTGGATTTTTTTCAACCATTTCCACTCGCAAGCTCGTTTGTTTTTATTTTCTAAATTAGTAACATTGTCGGTAACAACGGTGAGAATAAAATTCGAGTCGATTATCGAATAAATCTCAATTTTTGCTCTTGGCAATTCAATAAGTGGAAAAGCTTTTCGTGCTCACGAGCGCGAAAGAGCACAATAAGTTTTTCCCAAAAGAGAGAAGAGCGAAAGAAGCTCGAGCGAAATAGAATTTGGTCGATTCACAGTTAGAGGCCATAGGCTGGATGTTGGGCTACACACAGCGGAGGGCGAGCGCGCGCAATCCTCATACCTCCCACACTCGACATTTAATGACATTCTTGTCGCGCAATTAAACAAAGGCACTCGCCTTATCCGACTTAATCTTCGCTAACGACTGAACTTGTCCGGCTCGAGCTAAGAGAGTGCCAGAGAGAGAGAGAGGAAAGAGAGAAAGGAGAGAGAGAGAGAGAGAGAGACCCCTACCAAAGTGCAACAGCATCAGTAGCAGCAGCAGCAGCCTTGAGACGGCGTGTTGCAAGAAAGAATACGAGTAAACAGCAGTAGCACTATACCGCCGACCGTATAAGAAAAGGAGATGGCAAGAAAAAGCACGAGAGGCAAAAAAAGGAAGAAAACTTTCTTGCCTCTCTCGCTCGTTTCTCTCCGTCGCAAAATGAAATGAACTTTTTTGCTAATTAAATGACTCGACCGTACGTCGGGGGAATTAAAAAGCATGTTGTAGCGTGTAGCAACATTAGGACTAATGCGTGCACCTCGGCCGCCAAAATATCGCCCGACAAGAATCAGATATTAGCCGACTATTGATATTCTTGACGCCGCTGATAACAGGAACTATATACCGCGAATGTAGGCTGCGAGGCGAGGCTCGTTACATACTCCGCGATGTGTGCTGGTGTGTGTGTATATATGTACTAGCTCCAGCTGCGGTGGCTAATTGCGATACGCGGCGCAGTTGGCGCGCGGCTACGAGCTTTTCCTTTTTTTCCCTTTTCCTCCTCTATTTCTCTCTCGTTCGCTCTCTCTCTCTGTCTCTTGCGCATGGAGATGCAGATCTCTGAATGTACGTATATACGGCAGTGCTGCTACCAGCGCACAGCGAGAAAATGAAAAAGGGAAAGAAGAGTGAGAAATGGCATAGGGTATAGAGATGAATGGAGATTGAGAAAGAGGAAATAATTAAGGCCGATGCTCATCGGTAGCCCCGTGTGCTTTGTTCGAACGCCAGCGAGCTCCAAAGTGTCGGAGTGCCGTAGTGAGCTACTCTCGGCCTCTCTCTCTCTCGTTCCGATTTGCATCGTTGATTTATATGTATATTTGTGCGAATGTACGATTGCAGCGATGTATTCCTCCTCTTCTTCTTCCCGGCGCGAATTTGTACGAATTAGTTTGGTCCGATTGAGACCGTATCCTCTGAAATGACATTATATATATCTGTATAGGCTGACCGAGCGTTCGCCTTGAAAATAACATCGTAAAAATCCTTGCGGTTCACTCTCTCTCTCGTGCCCGCATACAGCAGCAGCAGTTTGCCTTTTTATTTTTCCCAATCGTTTCGCGCATTGACGTTAAAATTCACACGACGCGGGCAACCCCGCGAGGAGATATGGTTATTTTATGCAAAATAATAATAACGACGATGCGATATTGCGCGCGATCGAGTTTTTCAATTCGGTAGCCGCGCGCGGCTGCGAAAGAGATAGAGAGGCCGCGGCCCGATAACGAGATGTGCGAATGAAACTTTTTATTCGCGATCGTTAAAGATATTATATGCGCCTCGGCGGAATCTCGTATCTCATTTGAGAATCCAGTTCTGCTGTATAATACGTGTGTATTATCGGCAGGGAAAGATTACCACTGCCTCGGCGCATGTATAATATAATAATAATATTTTTCAATAAAAATCATACGTGAGATTCTCGAATACACCGAAATGTATAATCGAATTACATATAGACGCGCACAAGTTTTTGTGCGTTCAAGGATCGGCGAGCTCCAAAAGCATCGGGCCGCGCGGGTAACAAGCTATATATGTGTGACGATAAAAACGGCCGCGAATACGACGATATTAATGGCTTTTCCTGTACGTATATATACGCCGCGTACAAGCGTCTCGGCTTGTATTATTCGATAGAGTAAAAGAGCAGAAAAAAAAACTTATACGTACATATAGCAGCGACGTCGATTTTTCATACACCGATCCACCAAGACAATGCGGCATTGCAAAAAAGAAAAAAAAGAATGGAATGGAAAGAAAGAGAGAAAAAGCAATGGTAACCACAAATACATGTGTGGCAGGGTAAGATACGCCGTCGCCGAGCTGTAATGTCCGTCAATTCATACTTCCGTCTCGCTTCGCTTATCATTATCGCCGTCGTGTACTGCAGCTCGTGTTCTTTTCTCTCGCTTCTTTCGTACACATATATACGTTGTTTGCAGCAATGTAGCGTATATTCGCCGTGTCCATCGCGTGTGTATCGTATTATATATATTTTTCTCCGTGTGTTATTTCTTCTATAGGCCCGGGTTTGGCGCGTATCGCGCGCGGGGCTCGACTCGGCGCGCAGGAATTATGTGTTGCTTTGTATGTGCAACCGACAATTTTCCCTTCTTGTATTGATTTTGCTCCGCAGCTTCGGTCTGATATACACATGCGAACTTCATGCCGAGTATGTATGTAATCACGTAACAGCGGCTCGGCTGTATACACAGCAGTAGCAGTAACTTTCGCGCAGACCAGCGATTCGCTCTATCTTATGATTAGTTGTATATACGTTTCGCTGTTATTTCGCTCGTCAAACTGCGCGGACTTGGAGTGACACGCTATGAAGAGGAGGAGGAGGACAGCAGTTGAAATCGGAATACTTGGCGAAAAGTCGCTGCGAGTCTCGCTAATATTTTATAATCTATCGTCGCTGAGCACACCTGAGCCTCTCCTTCTCTCTTTCTCCTCCTTATCGCCGAGCTCCGTCACTCTGTATTCTCTTTGATGAAAGCTGCTACTATATAGCAAGAAGAGAAGCTCCATAGGCGCGGAAGGGATGATCACTAATAAAGCGAGTAAAGTGCCTCAGCCATTGCATACTCCGCTGTCGACGAGTTGCTGCGGCGCCTCGTCGTTGTGTTGGGAGGAGTTACTCTTTGCGATTGCTCTTCTGGATGCATCTATATGGATGATGGCGTCGTCGTAGTCGCATATACGAGCTGGAAGCACTTCGCCTGATGACGGCGCATTTTTCTCAACGCCTGTCGTCGTCGTCGTCGTCGTCGTCGTCGTTCATCGTATATAGCGGCGCAGATGAGCGACCGACGCGCTCTTTTAGAAATGAAAGGTAGCTCTTTTTGTCGAGTACGGGAGGCCGCGAATACGGAGGGAAGCTAGTTTGTGGACTATTGTCAAAAGAGCCAGAGTCGCGCGCGAGAGGATCGATTCGCTCGAGCTTTGGCACATGGGAATTTTTATTTTTATCGCTCGCACGAGGCTTCGCAAAAAATGATTCGTTTCGTCCGTTCGTGCGGCTACGTACACGCAGGCTATTCATCAGGATTTCACCCGCGGCAATCATTTCGATTAGGTGGGGTCGCATTAAAGAAAATAATCCTCGTTAGACAAGTGTATTCCGAGTGGCCGACGAGCGAGCCCAACGAGTAATCGATGCATCTCTCGTGCATTATATGGGCATCGATATAGCTCTGCGGAATGACCACACTATACACACGGCTCGCGGACCCTATCGCTTTTTAGAATCTCTTATAGTCTGGCAAACTCCTTGGACGCGCGGCACAAACATACACACATACGTATAGGTACGTGAGCTCTCTTCTCTCGTTTTGTGCCGTATGCAGCGGCGCGCCTCGCGCGTAAATCGTGAGGCGCCGAGCGAACAAAGCTTCTCCTTATTTTCTACTTACACGCAGCGGCCTGGGCTAGCATCTTTCTCCTTTCTCTCGTTCTCTATCTTCCTCTCGTCTCGTTCCGAGTTCTCACGTGTGTGTTTTCGACGCGCCGACGTGACCTGTACGCACGCAGGTGCAACATCTCTCTCTCTCTCTCTAGATGTGTTATACGCGCAGTTGTTGCACCCTTGTGAATTCGATTAGATGATGTTTGCTGTTTCTCCTCTACACGGTCCTACGTGGCCTATTCCTTTCGAGGAAGATTGGCTAGTTTTGCCGACAACTCGTTCGGGGACCATAAGTTTTTAGACTCGCGCGCGTGAGTTTTAATGGCGAAAGAGGATCGCTCGGACGCGCGCGCAAGACAATAGCTTCATTCGATTCCAGTTCTCCGACATGATCGCGAGAATATCTATGAAACTGCAGTGAAATAAAAACTCGCCAACGATCACTAAATCAGTTCTGTAGTGCGCCTAAGCCATGCGCTGATTTACGCAGCCTCGCAGCCATCGTGGAAATTTTCAAAATGCACCAGTCTTAAATCTTTCGTACCGATGTTGTAATCAGCTCTTATATACATTGCTCTATACAGGGGTAATACCTTACCAGTGGCAATCGATACAAAAAGATCGAGGTGCGATGTAAAAAAGTCGATTCTCAATTACGCGGACCTTGTTGCAATTGTCAACGGGCTGATTTAAGAATTCTGAACTTGCCATACACGGCTCGGCTTCCCATTGCAACGAGTAATACTTAGTAAATTATTCTGTGGAAATCGTAAAACTTCTTGGAACTTATTACGACCCATTGAATTCGCTTGCAAATATCTCAATGGATATACAGCTCGGTCCATTACGTATGCGAAATCACAAACAAATTGAGATTCGGACAATTGGCCTCGACAAAAGTATCTCTTTCCGGCGCCAAGTCATAAATCATTGGACAGCGCTTGATTGTCAATTATCACGCGCAGTGTCGCCATAAACAGATAAAGTAGTGGCAGAACTGCATACTGCCTCTCATATAAGCACCTGCAAAAAATACGTGCACATTCAATAAGCTCAAAGGACTCGGACTGATATCATTTTAATTAATATACATGCCAATCTAAGAAACCCGAGTGCGGCGTTGCATTATATTGGATAGAACAAAAATAAAACCTTATCTCGCGAGCGAAGGTAATTGAATGAGAAAATGATTTTTTATTTCATGCGAATTTCACGTGTGCAGCTATGATTATACGAGCTTGTAACGGAATGGCACATGGTCGTGATTTCATTCGTGTACATATAATATCAATTCGATGGCAAGTGAAAGTATAACGCGGAAAACTTTAATAACTATTTCGAAAGATGGAGTTATTTATCAGCATGGGTATAATAAATAATTTCACGTGATTCGTCAGATCGTAATTGAGTATGAAATTGCTCTCGTGGTAGCTCTCTCGAGTTATACGTGCTGCAAATTGATCCTATACGAATCACCGACTGCAATATTAATCTTTTTATTCTTGCTTTCTGCTTCTCTCTCTCTCTCTAGGTGATCACGGGCAATCAAAACACCTACCTGGAGGCGCGCTACAGCCTCGATCCGCCCGTCTGGGCCAGCAAGGTGCGCTTCCTGCCCTACAGCTACCACAGGCGCACCGTCTGCATGAGGGTGGAGCTGTACGGCTGTCCCTACAACGACGGCGTCGTCTCGTACTCGATGCCGCAGGGCGACAAGCGCAACAACTGGGAGTTCTTCGACGCGACCTACGACGGTCACTGGGACAGCGAGCTGCGCCGGGGCCTGGGCCAGCTCACCGACGGCCGCACCGGACCCGACAACTTCAAGACGAGCTTCTTCGACTCGAGCAAGGAGCAGGGCTGGGTCGGCTGGCGCAACGACACGAGGAACGGACAGCCGCTCGAGGTTAAGTTCGAGTTCGATCAGGTGCGCGAGTTCTCGGCCGTGCACATCTACTGCAACAATCAGTTCACCAAGGACGTGCAGGTGAGCAAAACAAATATAAACAATTAATCATCGCGGTCATTGGCGCACGCGATGCGCGCGTATATAATATATAATTGAAAACATCGCGCTATAGTCGTGTAACCGCAGGCACGACGCGTGGGTGGCCGAATTTCCAACTCGAAACGGTTGCAAAATTCAATGATTTAACATTGTTATCGTGCATTGTCATCGTGCGCGCCTCGCCTATATATATAGTTTAGGCTCTCTGCGCCGCACAGTCCGCATTCTCTATATACAGTTTCGTAGCGTCGAAATTCCAGAATGATTTCCGATTATTGTGTCTAACAGCTCTGCCTCGAGCATGTATATAACAAGCGTAAATTATCACTAACGTAACTGCATACAATATGCACGCATGTACGTGTGGTGGTGTGTATGTGTACGACGACGACGACGACGACGACGACTTGTCACCAATAGACCTATATATACACACAACGAGGGCCCAGGCCTATAGCGTAGCGTGTATATGGACATTGAATTCGAATGGAGCATTGTGCGCTGCACTAGCGCGCGCACCCGAGATATAATTAATTCAGAAGCTCGCGTATACGCGCATAGAATAAGATAACAGCTTACAAGCTCCGCCGCAGCCGTCGTCGTCGTCGCGACCTATTTCGATTCTGCGAACGAGTGTATATAAATATGTTTACATTATATTATCGTCGTCCGCGGCGCGCTACGCTATACAGGCATATTATATACATAAGATGAGCGCGTAAATAATTCAACTCTCGCCAGCGCTAAAAAGGAAAATTGCTCTGTGACATATTTTCTAGCTTTTATGCGTCTACGTATGAGTACGACCGAGATCGTGAACGACGAGATTTTCCGTTGAAAAACGCTTGCGTCGCTGTAAAAAATTAATACGGTTAAAGAGGGCCTTTTTTTATACGTAACGTAACTAAGTCGTGCGCGCCAGGGAAAAAGTACGCGCATTCACACGTATATAGCCAAGAGAGCTCGAGTGTAGAGAGAAATATTTTTTCGCATAAAATAGTGATGAACTCCGGTGTGCGCGGCAATAGTCGCGCTGCTCCATATACAGGTATAATACCCACACGCACACACACACAAGTTTACACACACCTTCCGTGCGCGGAAGAGGAAATTGGAAAGAGCCCCCAGGAGCTCGAAATGAAGAAGAAAAGGGAAAGAGAGAGAGAGAGAGAGAAAGAAAAAGCATAGCCGAGCTTCTCTCGGGTATACTGCGTCGCCGCGTACGACGTCGTCGTGTGTGCTGCTATCTCTGTGCACTGGTCTTTAATCCGTATATACCCGCGAGGTCTCGTCGACTAACGCTTGGTCTATGAAAATCCAGTTTTGCGCGCGGGCACTATACAGCGCAGTTAAAAAAGATATCTCTTTCGAGCTTGTGTGTGTGTATAGCGACATTTACCATATGTGTATGTCTTTTTCTCTTCTCTTTCCTTTCCGTGTAGGTATATAGTCATTTGCGCGGGAACGAGGTAAAATTGCCCGCGAAGAAAAATACATCGCCTGGTTAGTGTGTATTCCCTTTCGTATTCCGATGTACAGATATATACAATGCCGGATCGAGGGTACACACACACACATTAATACACACACGCGCGCGCATTCGGAAGAGCTAGAGAAAGAGAGAGAAAAAAAGGTGAGCTGCTGCTTCTTTTTTGCAAGCCAACTCGGTCGGTGCTATAATGGTCCCGGTGAAACGATAGCGAACGCGGGCGCGATGTATCAAGATTTATTTGAATGGGTCGCCTCATTACCCGAAGACTCTCGCGGCTCTACTCACTCGAGTAGCAGTATTATTATTATATGTAGCTCTCTCTTTCTCTCTCTCGCAAATAACAGATACATCTAGAGAGAGAGAAAGAAAAATGGAACAAATATTGCAAGGAATTCCGCGGCTCGGCTGTAATATATACATATAGGTACACGTAATACGCCCGCGCGCAAGGCTCTGAAAAGCTTCAACGACTCTACAACCTCGAGCGCAGCAGCAGCAGCAGCGATCTGTGCACGGATGAACGGCCAGGAATTGAAAATCACTAAGGTGGAAAAAAAATATTCAAGTGCGAATACTCGGCTCGCGCTGTGCTGCCGCTGTTGCTGCTACTGTGCGCCGCGATGCGATGTACGTAGCGATTATTTTTCTAATTCAGTGGCTGCAGCGGAGTTTACACAAATGTAGAGATCGAACTGCGCGGTGGCATATGTTTTTTTTTATTCGTGCATATCGCGTAAATGGAAACGGTATAGGTATAGTGTGGGAGAGGCAGAGGGAGAGAAAAAAGAACGCATCGACGCTTTAATTGACATCTAAATAGGAAATTTTTCAAAACGAGTAATCGTCGATTCTGTACATTATATAGTGGCTCTGCAGAATCGTTCTCCGAATACGTACCGCACGAAGAAAAAAACGGTCCACAATAGCGCGTTTAAATACGTACATATAATATAGCTACGCTCCGATCGAAACAATAAGGCGCTTTTGTGTAACGCAAGAAACAAGGTCGCGAGACGCGCGCGCGTGTACACTACCGCGTAATGCGCACAATGCGCCGAGCTCGCGAAGGGCTAATAAACCATATAGGTAGGTAGGTAGGTAGGTACTCGTTAGGTGGAGCGAGGCGTCGAATTAAAACACGGGCCGAGTTCTGCAGCAGTGGCATATAGGTGTCCCCTGCGTGCACGCGCGCATTACATTATTACACACGTGGTAGTCAACACATACGTACATATACGACACAAAACGCTCGCGCCCACTGTAAAGCATGTATATAGGTGTACAATGGCTCTGCAGCCTCGCGAGCATTGAATAATATACAATAACGTAGGGCGACACTTGCACATTGTACAGCAGGCGTACGTGTATGTATGCGCGTATGTGCCCTTAGCCCATATTAACGAGGCTCGCTGCAGCTCGAAAGACAGTAGTGGTGTACTTCAAAGTCGAGCTTGTATACCCGCAGGCCTGTTCTTGTTGGTGTTGTTGTACTGTCGTCGTCGTCGTTGGGTTTTGCTTACGTGAACGTATAACGTTATAGAGGCAGATGCGGGCTCGGAGATCGTCGAAAATCCGGGCGATGCGGAATCTCGGCATCTCGCTGCGACGATTTCGCCGCGGCAGAGCTCGAGATTTTATCGTCGCGGCCTACCTGCAGCAGCGGCAGCATTTATATACGGCTCTCGTGGTGTTATCCGCGTACGTATAATACGCTCTTCGCACGAGCTGCAGGGCGATCTCGGAACGATTATCCTAATTTGGCTTCTTATACGCTTGTTATTTATTTCCAGTCGATGCGATGCGGTGTACGCTTTTTTTATGCGTTATGAGATTCAGAAAAAAAAAAAATAATAATAAAGAGAAAAGACCTCGTCGCGTCGGTTTCGCGCGAGAAGAACTTCATTGGCGCGCGACACACAAACACACCTACGTGCATAAGTATTACGAGCGCGCACCTTGCGAACGCATTGCATAAACAGCCCAGAGCGTCAATCTTCATCCATGCAAAGTAGATGCGGCTGAAGCCGCCGCAGCTTTCTCCTCTCTCTCGCGCCTGCATTCTCTACTCTGAGCGCGAACAGCATCTCTCGTACGTATACGTATATACACGAGCTATATACATTTGCAGCGAATGCATACGTGCAGACGAGCGACGTATACATACATGGAGCATATAGGTATATTATATGCGTGCGCCTCGCTCCCGACGACTGACGATTCAACAATGCGCAATGTGCATACCAGCGATTTAGCCTTCCATTACTACATCGCGCGCGCGTAAGCTATATATACACGTGTGCACGTGTGTGTATATACGTGGGTGTTTGTGTAGGTACTACTAGCTGAGCGAGAGAGAACACGTCGCCCGAGCTCTCTAAGTATGGTTATACGCAGCAGACTGCAGCACACACATATACGTACGTACACACCTACGTGCAGCATACACACAGTGTACGTGCAGCACAGGCTTAACTGCACACGCGCATAGCAGATTCGAGGCAGGTAAACGCCTTGCGCGTCTGTGAGTGCAGCACATGTGTACCATTATCGAGACTGTCGGTGGTATTGTCGTCGCTCCTAATCAGCCCTCCAAGCCGTGGAATCGTCTCGAGTGTACACGGCGTGCCTAAACCTCGCCGCGCACGATCTATAGCACGTAGGATACATATATACAGTACTCGGTATATAGCGCATAAACGTATACGTTGGTATAGGTTCGTATAGCCCTCGCAGTAGTGAGACTCGTACCTAGTAGTAGTGGTAGTGGTAGTACGTCTGAAGACGAGAGGGAGAGGAGAGCCCAAGAGGCGAGGTCTTAGTTTGCCAAGGAGATAAAGCACTTCTCTCTCGCTCTCCTCCTGTACTATAGGTACTTTACTTATACACTACTGCTGCTATACTACTGCTATACAGCTAACAGCAGCATCATCAGGAAGAGGGCCAACGATATTTAACGCCACAATAAACTACGCGCGGACGTTTAGTTTTATGCCGTATAACTAGCAGCAGCATCCACTACGTCTATTGCTGTACAGAAGGAAGGAGCTTTTGTATGTTCATTCGCTATACACTATAGCTGCTCGCGAAGAAAATCCTGAATTAGAATGCATTGTTCGCTTTTTCCCCGCTCGGCTAGCTAGTGTATTATTATATAAACGAATGAGCTCGACGATGTATTAAATTTGCCTCAAAAAGCATTATTACCGCCGCCTGTGCATGCGTACGTAGATGCGTTTACTTTGTGCGCGGTTCTGCCCACGTACATACACATTACATCCAAATATGAATTACGCGCTTAGCTCGACGGAGAACGAGAAGAGAGAGAGAAAAAAAAGGATTTAAATTATTTTTTACCGCTTAATTATGTGCCACCGCGAGAATGGATGAAAAATCTGTTTGCCGTGTGCATTATATATACGGGCCGTATTTAAGTGCCCTGTGCAAATAGCAAAAAGCTGCGTAGCAGCAGTGCGACTATACTATACTATATTAGCGCGCCGCCGCAAAGTAGCATGCACGGGGCGTCGTAGTGCAGCCACGACTCTATGTGCGCAACATTTTACTTATTATTCCAAAGAGATATATATTCTCTTTTCAAGCCAATTTCCAAGTAAAGGATCTTTATGAAATGCGCATTAGTAACCGCGCGCCGTATTGTGTGTGCGCGTGTGTGTGTACGTACGCATTGTGGAGAATTGCGTGCGCGGTAAAAGACGCGATCGCTTATATATATAGGTATAATATAGCAAAGTGATAATAGGTAGCTACTTCGCGAGGCTGAGTGAGCGAGCGTGTCGAGTGCGCAGACACTGCCAACTACCTATATGTAATATTCAATTTGAAAATTAGCATATAAGCCAAGCCAAGAGCGGCAGCGCGCCTTAGGTGATACCTGCGCGCTCGTACTGGGAGAATATTACGAACACTATATGTGTTAGTTCGAGCGAGCCTTGGCTGCACAGCGTACAAAACAGTTAGCGTCGAGTTAATAATTGTGTTGGCTTTAATAAATGCATCGCGTGTGTACCTGTCGGGAATTTTTCGATCCTTCTTTACGCCGACGTTATTTCGACGACAGTCGCACAACGCCGTATATACATAATATTGAAATCACAATATAAAAGCTCAGAGCGACGAGAACAGCAGAAGCAGCAGAAAACTCAATGTGTCTTTTTGTTTTTCCGTTCGCAGGTATTCTCCGAGCTGAACGCCCTGTTCAGCATCGGCGGCAAGTACTACACCGGCGATCCGATCGTCTACGACACACCCGAGGATCGTGTCTTCGAATTCTCGCGCAACATCACGATCAAGCTGCACCACCGCATCGGCAAGTACGTGAAGCTGCGATTCGGATTCGCCGCCCGATGGATCATGATCAGCGAGATAACCTTCGACTCTGGTGAGTTTTCTTGCTCTCTTATCTATATACACGTATATACACCCGTTGTTTCTTCTTAACTGTACATTTGTGCATTGCGAGTATTGCGCGGCACATAAATGCCCCGGCCCGATATTCGCGTAGTGCATAACCAATCGCATGATAAATTCAAATGTATGTAAAAACTTTCGCGCGAGAGAACACAATGCTCGGAGAGTGCAGTGCATGCATCTCTCTCGAGAGAGAAGACCGCTCGCGTACACTCCGAAATTATCTTTTAATAATGTATTAGAGGGAGCAGCAACGGCAACAACAACAACTGCAACAGATGTATTCTTACGATTGTATGTACCGTTTTCCGCGGACGAAAGCAACAGCTCCACGATGAATAAATACGATATAACTCTTTTTCGCGGGCGCCTCAACGAGTCTCGCGCGCGAGCAGATTTACGATTAGGCCATTTTCGCCATAATTCAAATGCATGTAATTCTCGAAACTTTCGTAATTTTTCTCCTTTGGCGACTTTCACTCGCGCGCGAGCATTGCATTGTGTCTTATCGATTATGCATTCGATGTCGGAGCTATTTATTTTAGCCTCAAAGTGAAGCCTTACGCGCACTCAACGTGTCGACCCGTTCCAAAGCTCACTTACTTACACTATATCTCCGCGACGAGCCCTTTAGCTCGTATATTACGCGCTAGTCAAAAGCGAGAAAAAATGTATAAAGTCCCGACGTGCACGTAGAGGCAGAGTCGCCCGAGCTCTATCACCCCCAAGAGTATCGCATATCCTCGTATACACTAACAAGGGCGCATTCCCCTTTTGCTCCGGTCGATGTTACAGACGTGGCGCACGGAAACTTCACTCCGGAGTCGCCACCGACGACCGAAGCCCCGCGCCTGGCACGCGAACGGGGAGACGTCGCAGCCGGGGGAGGAGGCATCGGCGGCGGCGGCATCCACGGCGTTGCCGCTGGTGGAAACGTCAACGGAGCCGTCCATCGTGAGCTGCCCCGACACCACCAGATCGAGGTGCCGGTCTCCACCGCCAAGCAGGACGACCCGACCTACATGGCCGTCATCATCGGCGTGCTCACCGCCGTCATACTCCTGCTGGCCGTGGCCATATTCTTCATCGTGTCGCATCATCGCCAGCGCAAGAACTTCCCCAGTCCGCTGGGCACCAAGTCGGCCATACCTCAGGGCGTAGGCCTGGGCCACGCCAACGACTCGACCTACGGCACGGCCGAGAAGGACCCGTCGCTCATGGGCTACAGGGTCGAGGATCTCGAGGACAGGTACGCCGGTGCCAAGCTGACCACGCTGCCGCGCGAGCTCAACGATCGGCTGCTCGGCGACGTGAGACTGGACGATTATCAGGAGCCGTTCCACGAGTCCGGCAGCGCCAAGTACAGGGAGCCGCATCACGCCGCCTATTACGGATACAGCACCGTCGTTATCGACAACAAGGATCTACATGACAGCGTCGAACAGTCTGGTACGTATCGCTCGCTATTATTGTTGTTATTATTGCAGCGCGCGCGAACGAGTAAGCACGTCCACCTTTTGTTTGCAAAATTATCACTGCAACAGCAACAGCAGCAGCCACTGTATAGTCGCGAAACTCCGTGTACTTGCATTTATTTATGAGAGAGATATTTTTTTCACTCCGCCCAGCAAAGTCTTTGTACGAGAACAATTTAAGGCGTGAGAATGTGATCGCGGAGTGGCTCGGTATGCGCGAAAGCTACCGTTGTAGCGAAACACGTATACCCTTCTGTATAACGATTATTCGATTGACTGATCTAACCTGCACGTTTCTGTGTGTGTCTCTCTCTCGATGTTACAGATGCCACGTACGATTACGCGGTCCCCATGCCCGTCAACAGCAGCGCCCCGGGTAGCGACCAGGACAGCATATTTTCCAAGTCATCGCGAGGCAGCGCCAAGGTAATTTTCGAAGCTTTTTTTAAAATAAAAAACATATAAATTTTACTGCTTTTCCTTGGCAATTACAAACACATTTTTGGCCATAAAAGCAGCTTTACGAGGTGTCACGTAATTCGCTCTTAACCAACGTCGTTTTTTCGTTTGTTTTTTGTTCCTCTATCTGGTGCGCAGGCATGCTTGCAGAGCTTTTTCCCACCGCCTCCGCCGCCGATGAGCGCGCCCCCGTCGCGACTGGGCAGCGGCAGCAACAATCTCACCTACTCGGGCCCGCCCAGCCCGGATCTGATGATGTGCGAGCGCAACGGACGAGTCGTCGGTAACGGCGCCGTCGCCGGGGCCAAGAGACAGGCTCGCGATCACTCTCTGCACAGGTACGCATGAGACGAGTCGCCGGCGCTGCTGGCCCAACAGCAGCAGCAGCAACAGCAGCAGCGTAGGACCACGTGCAACGGCAGATGGGCCAAGATCACCACGACGAGCTCGTCGGCCTCGACGCTGCTCTACACTCGCGCCTACAGGGCCAACTACGGCGACATGCTGTAAATCGTTGCGGATCGCGACCAAAGAGCGAAAGACGCTGGCTCGAATTGAGCCGTTTCGTTGTAGGATGGGGAAGCTTTCGCTTGCGTACCAAGTATATGTGTGGGTGTGTGTGTTTGTGTGTAAGTATGTCCGATGATGGCTGTTTCTGTGCGAGTTCTGCTGTACATAATTTCCGGATGAATGCGTGCGAGTGCGCGAGAATCGAGTCGACTCTCGAGCTCCTGTAAATATTATACATATAGAAAATACATACGAGTATACATATAGCTGGTTAGATGTGAATTTAGCTAGGTGAGAGATGATCGAGCTAACGACCATGACTTTTTTCCGCAGTCTGTCATTTCCTCACTTACGCGCACTTCAAGTTTACAATACAACGACTACTCTAGTTCTTAATTCGGCACGATCGGAGCAAATCGCGAATAAACCCGCGATCCGTCTCCGATCGAAGCTCCACATTCCTTTATGCTCGCCTAATGTATTAAAAAGTATATAATTATATGCGCGCATCGATCGAGCGACCAGGTCGCCGTGAGCTGCGCGCTCTATTGCCTAGTGCGTATACGTGTGTAAGTGTACATAATATTATATTATACCTGTAGGTATTTATTTTAACATATTGGCATATCACTTCGAGGGATTGATGATGATGATTCAGCAAGTAGTCAAAGTGTCGTCCCATTCGTTTTGCCGCGCACACTCGATAGCTGAAGCAATACGTCTGTAAGGTTCGTTCTCTATTGCTTTTCTGGTAAGTCGCGCGGGGGGACCGATCGATGAATGATACCTTACGAAACTGTATCTTGTACATATGTTATTTTAGAATGAAATGATCGTATGAGTTATATCTTGTCTTCTTTTACTTTTATTGCAAACAATGCCGTATGCAAATTTCGAGAGAGCACTTTATAATTTTACTACCATCGTTTTGCAAACAAAGACTGACTCGTCGGGCGGAGTGGAAAACAATTTTGTGTATTTTCTTTGATTCCACTCGAGCATTGAAGTGACTTTAGTTTTTTTTCGGATACTTTGTAGGCTATTTCGTGAAATACACACATATATAATAGTCACATAATAAATTCTTGGATTAAGGAATGTATATAGACTAGGATAATTTATTTTTAGTTGAAATTTTTTTATGTAAAGAGTGTAAGTTTCATATGCGATGAATGATTGCCGTGTGTCAGCAGATGTAATTGTTTCGCGTTCATTAAATGTTTCATACTTATTTTATAGCCTTCTGTTCATTATTATATGCATTGAAGAATAAAACTCTTTTAATCGAAGCTGCGTCGCCTTCATGCAACGAGTTAGTGAATGCTGTGGATAAAATGGAAAATTCTTATTAACAAAGAAAATAAAAATGTATATGTATAAAATTATCATAGGGATCATTGTTAATAATAAGTGTATTATATAATTTCATAAAATCATGAACAGAGATTATAACGAAAAAATTGAGACAATACAGGGATCAGGCAACAATAATATGTAGCAAACAACGCGTGCAAGAAACCCTAAACTATATATTGTGATATATGTAAAAAATTTTTAACGAGATAAATGAGTTTGGCGACATGGATATATCATAACATTCTATCGTTGCTTGGACGGTTCTGGATTAATTTTTTTCATGACGCAAGTAATCGGAAAGACATAAAAGTCGGTTATACATAAATAAATTATTAATGGCTATAAACTTATGAGCACCAATAACTTTTGTAAAAAAAAAAGCAAAAAAAATTTTAATACAACATCATTGACTAGTTTTTATACAGACACTATCACGCAAAATGTTTCGTGTAACCGCATCAATATATAAATAAAAACACGTACGAGAATACATAATCCAGCTTCATGAATGTTGTGAATTGAAAATGTTTATTTCTAGCGAACGAGTTGTGTATCGATTTTCTGTAATGATGGCTCTAGTGCGTGAGTGTATGATATTAAGAAAGACTATATCGACCATAAATTTTTCAGTGCATATGCAAACGATGTATACATAATTATTGAAACGAAGTAAAAATTCTTTTATTACTAAAAAGAGACTTGATGAATTCTATATTGAACACTGCTATATTCACCCTGCCTATACATGTGAACCTTTTACCTTTGACCATAGCACACACAAACTCTCCCAGAATACATAGAAGCAACGATTTTTTTTCCACACTTTTTTTCGTACGAAGGCAAAAAATCTGATAAGTAAGCTTTGAGGCAAGGAAAAATTGCTAGAGTTTCTGCTGCACCAGCAGTAGCAGTAGCAGCAGCAGCAGCAGCCGCATCATCACGTATAATAATAATGAAAAATCCCTCGCAACCCCCGAGAGAAAAGAATGCCTTTGAACGCACGAAGATCGTGAGCGAGCGAGAGAGGGGAAACTCACCTTCGCGTACAGTCCCGATAACGATTCTTCTAAATCCTTTATGAAAAGCTACGCCGCCACAATAATTTTCGTTACTCGCACACATACGCGCGCGCGTACGGCATACACCCATCTTTCGCGTTTGCGATTTGCACGCGAGCATATAGAAATAGTGCAACGGCGGCGGCGTACGTGCCTCTGCGCGCACGTATGTCAATATAATTCAACATCACTCGGCAGACGCGCGCCGCAGCAAATTGCCCCGAACGATCGTCGTTTTGCCTTCGCGCGCAACGAACAATCGACGCGAAATTTACTCGTAATCGCTCGATTGTGCAAAGTCTGACGAGCCGTACGCTTGCTCGCACTCCTCTATATACCTCCCTCTCTCTCTCTCGCTCATTCGAACCTCTGCGAGCTTGTACGCGCGAATATTGCCTCTCCGGCTTTTTTTGCATGTCGAGGCTCGTAGTTTTTCGGCATCCTATAGCGAGGCAACAATGGGTCTGGAATTTTTAGCTAATTCGCTATTGCATCATGGCCGTTTCAATTTATTCTCTCTCTCTCTCTCACACGCGTATACACTCACTCTGCGCACACACCAACGTAACAGCTTTATCGAGTCATTATCAGGTACAAAACACTTTGGCAAAGCTGACTTTCTAAGCAGCGCGCGATACATACGGGGGGCAAAACGGAACAAAGCGATCTCTCGCGCGCGCGAGTATTTATCATCATTAAAAAGTATCTCAGGCCCCGGCATCGCGAGAGCAGCAATGTCTATGCATACACAGCATCAACACGACGCTCGTACACGTACAGACACGCCATTAGACCCTTTTGTTTCGTTGGCGTGCAAAATTTTACGCGACGATAAAGCTCGCACGCCCTCACTCTCTCACACACACACGTACATACGTATTCTCTGCTATTTACTGTAATGCCGAGGTGTACACCGAAGGTCTCTATATCGCGAGACTCTATGTAAGCGGAGTGCACGCGAGAGAGAGAGAAGAAACATGCCCCGGCAAAAGATAAGATTGTGCCATCGCACTCGGTTCCTTGGCTTTTAACTTATATACACAGATATATTTGCATACATTGCCTGGGACTTTTTACGCTATATCATGGGTCTGTACGTACTTTCACACTGCCAATGACTTTTCATTCGGTGTAATTAATCGGTATGACATCGCCAGCTCCGCGTGAAATTTATACACGCCATAGACTCGATCTTTCTTTTTCTATTCAAAGTTTATATGCACACGGTAAGGAAACAAGGAGACCCCCATGCAATAAAATCATTGTGAATCGTCGTTGCAACAATCTGAATATAATAATTAAAATTACGATAATGATAAAAAAATTACCATTGGGAACAATGTTAACAGGTCGCCGAAGCGATCGTGTGAGCATCATTGTATATTAAAAAACAAAAACGTTCAATTGACAATCGCTGTTGCTAGGTATTAAAATAGAAAAAATAATCTGTAAATAATCTCTGTTTTCACGGAAAAGTTAATTATCGAATAATGCGGCTACGCGACGCATGCTTTGACAAATTATTCGTCGCGTTGAGTGAGATGCATTGTTTTTGTAATGAAAATTGACGTACACGCTCGAATGTTAATAAAAAAGTTCGCGAAATTTTTACAAGGGATTGGCAGCGACCGAATTTTCTGTTTATATTTTTTTGCCGCAAAAGTTAATCTGTCTCGCACTCGTACATCACCCAGTCACTCGAATGCATTTAGCGCTTAGGGCACTTATCGCACTGGATTATCGTTCTCGAAGCCGAGTTCTTGCGCCGGCGCCCGAAGGCATTAATTCTCCTTCGTTGTGTACCATAAAACGCAACGTGTAATTTATTAATAGTAAGCTTGCACTTGCTTTCGAGACTCGTGTAAAGTTTTGCGTTCGAATCGAGAGACTGCAGGAATACTCGAGAAGTGGCTGTGCGATCGGAAGAAAAATCGCAGAGCTTGCAAGCTCCACGCAAAGACTATTTTTCCAACGTCGTCATTTTTTGTACACATTTTGATACGATCGCAAGTAGAAAGATATTATCCTAAAACAAAGATACTGCTTTTACTGATATAGTCAAATTGTAAGAGTTAACTGGTTGTGTTTAATGAATAATTACTGCGTAATAATGATAAATTCAAAAATACGATCACCTCGGCAATGTGTGAGCGATTAGATTTTGAGCGTGTCATTTGTACAAAATGCATGAGTACGTGAGAGCGTTGCTAACGACAATTGCGCAAAACAATTGTGTCGATTGATTTCTATAAAATATATTACCATATTTGTGTGCCTGATTGAACTATTTGTTTTACATGCTGCATCGTTGCAAATTAATTATAAAATTTTAATTGTCAAGGAGATACAAATTTTAAGGCGAATTTCGCCGTTATTATAACGAAAAACTATTTGTTACGAGGAGCGGAATGATATTATATAAGAAAATGATTAATTGCGTATACAGAAAATTATAAATATATAATATGTATAATGTATATGAATGAATAACGATTATATATACTGTACACATAAAAGGATCACTCACTCTCTTAAAAACATCATCAAGAATGCGTATACATAAAATATATATAACGTCCGTGGGACGAAATAAACTTTTAGCGAAGTAAATTTAAAAAAAAAAACCGATGAGTTGTGTATTGATTTTTCACGTTCGTATGCAATCCTGACGCTCCGTTATCTCTTCCTATATTGCCGAATTTCAATATCTTCATTTTTAGATATGAAAATATCACCTTTGACGCAACTGTCATTTTGTTTTTGAACATGTTTACCAATAAATGCTTTTAACAGATTGATATTCAATGGAGACTAGTTTTTCGTTCAGTTAACGAGTTTTATCGAAATTTTAATTTTTATCCCCTGACGGCTAGTCAAAAGAAAAAGTTTATTACCTGCCATATAAGAAATTAAAATTAGCTTTAACGATTTTGAAATTTTGAATTGTTTAAAATATAGAAGAAATAATGAATTATATTTTAAATGAGATATAATTTGACTGATCGCGAGGCGCGTCATCAGGAAAGTAAATCACGGCATCTGCATTTCTGGCAAAAGTAGTCAAATATCGGCGGAAGAGCGAGCTTTTCCAATAGTGTCGTGTGCAGTATCATTGGCCTGTCACGTGTGTAGGTGGGTATATAAAAAACGCATGCATTTAAAAAGCCGTAGATCAAAACGATAGCGCACAGAGAGAGAGAGAGAGAACGGCACAGACTGTATACATATGGGCAGGATAACGTCCGCACGAGGCGGCGGTGCAGCTGGATCATTTAAATTTCAATTTCGTTCGGGTGGCACTGGCGGTGGCGTCGTCCGGCACTCGCTTGCTCGCGTTCATTTTCCTGTACATGCCAACATGCAAAGTGCCGATAGTAGAGCGGCCAGTTCACATACTCAACATTGCATGAATTTTCAGTTTGGAAAAAAAAATCTGATCGCGTCCTACGTACAAGAGAGATAGAGCTGAGGAAATCGACAGATTCAAAACAAGTTTTTCAGATTAGAGGAAAACTATTGACTAGCTTTATTGAAAAATAGATTAAAGATATATTTATTTAAATTTGTTGCTTTGGGAGAAAAAAGGTCGCTACCTTTCAAGCACCGCTTCCGTAAATATAGCTTTTATTTTTATGCTCTGGCCATCGTTTAAATCGTGATGATCTTTAGACGTTGACGAGTTTGTAAACGTTGACGAATTTGTAAACATTCTTGTAACGTTTGAACTACTTTCATAATTTATTTACTGTTAATTTTATTCATTTACGAGGTACAATGACTTCGTTGTCAATTGGGCAATCCTGTTGTTGGTATGCATCTTCAATTTTTTTGCATCGTAACCGTAACTACTCGCATCTAATAGAATGCAAAATTTTAATGAAATTTCTATATTGTCTGTGGAGGTACTATTACGATGAATTGCAAATAATTTTGTTCCTAGGAATCTTTCCTTTTCCTGATTAAAAGAAATTGTTTTTCAT